AAAAAAAAAAAAAAAACCAATAAAAATAAATACAGGAAGGCACTGTTGTACTTGGAAAACAAGGTAGGTATTTTTAGTTAGACAGATCTAAGTCTAAAATTCCAAATTCAACCTTTACTGGGTATGTGGCCTTGAACAATTTATTACTTAAGCTCTGTGAGCCTCATCTTAAAATGGGGATGACACTGTTCTGTTTCCTTACATGTTATTGTAAGGATTAAATGCACCAATACATGTGAAAGATTATTGGCATGCTGCCTCCCTGGTGCATGGTGGTTAACCATTCAGTAAGTAATCACTATTGTTTTCCCACCGAACACTAATCCATTTGGATTAAATTATGAGAGCGACATTCCCATTAACTGTCTATATACAGAGAAGTTGTGTAAAAAGCAAACTTAAACAAAATTAATTCTTGACTAACAAGATATAAACTCAATCTTTAGAAAACAAAAATAATAATATACTTTCTTGAAAAAAAAGCTGTTCACTATTTAATGTTAAATCTCCACTGCTCTGCCTCTACCCACAAAAATATTTTCTGAACATACAAGATTCACAGAAATTCATTCAAATTTCTTGAGCTGTTTTTTAATCAGACAAATTACATATAAGGAAACCACACTGAAGAATAACTAAATATAAAACCACATATATAAGGAAACAGAAGCTATTTATTAAAACACTAAGAATGTTAATCATCAGTAGTCAAGTACCAGAGACTACAACCCAACAGCTCAGAAAAATAAAACAACAGAAATCCCTAACTTTAATGGCTCCCTTTAAATGAACTGGTAATTTGGCTTCATAATTTCCTTAAATTTAGAACATTCTAGGTGAAAATCTCACTCTGCAAAGATTCAAATTCCACATCTCCTCTATATAGAAATAACTGTGGCAGAGGAGTTAATTAAGACAGAATCAAAGAAGCAACCTCATCACCAATCTCCCCATTACTACTCCCCTGGCAAATGTTATCGATCAACAGTCTGGTCCTATGGGCCTAATCCTACAGCTCCTGAAGATAACACTGGAATCCTTCTCGAAGCAACCACAGCGGGCAAAGTTTAAACCTACTTGCCTCCCAAGATTTAAAAAAAAATACCCTATCAACAGAGCATTTGACAACAACAGTCACTGTCAGTTCTGCTCTGCAGGGATGGTAGTCAGTAAAATTTTGAATGATGGTCATCAGCTATTCCTGTTCCAAATGAGCATCAATAGGATAACTAACAGAATAACAATATCCAAGTTTATTCAATTTCCTTGGATATATCATATAAAAAGCGTATGTTCCTTCCTCTACTGTTAGATCAAGGTCTGTGTCCTCAGCCCTGCTACTGTCCCACTGGGTGCTGTGAGAGCTCATGGACTACTTCCACTACAATAGGAAGGTGGTGGACAAAGTACAGCCTTGCAGGATAGGTGGATTTGCTTCTGGAGTTTGCATTACAAAGTTCAAATATGGAAGAATACTACAAGGCAACCAAATGCATACAGTTGCTGAGTTCACAAACAGGGAGCAACCAGAGTTTAAATAGTAAGGGCTACCTTAAGATATTTATTCAGATCTATTCCATCCTGAATTGGAGAGCCAGAGTTTATGCCTAAGGAATACCATTTTGCAAAATACTCACAACTACCCATTGAAGGAAAGGGGAAATAAGGGAATAAAACCCATCCTCCTCCTCTTGCCCCAGCTTTGAGACATATGGATGTCCCCTAACAAGCTTCTAGCACCATCCATCACTCTATTATTTGGAGAAAGGGGAACCAGTGTGTGGTTCATCTGCATTACAAAACATTGCAACCACTTAACTTATTTTTGAGACAGGGTCTCACTCTGTCACCCAGACTGGAGTTAGTGATCTCGTTACATTCAAATGCATCAACAATCCCAAGGGCTTTTCTTTCACATCATTTGGATATTTTTACATTGATAAAGATGGACTTAACATAGTTAAAAATACCTTGAGGCAAAGCAATTAAGAAAACTATAAAACAAAACTCCAGGCTGTGAAAAATTTCATACACACACACCCCTGCAAGAGGTATGTGATATTCAGCACTCTTAAATGCCACATAAAAGTAAGCCACTTACAGAGTTATTCTGCATCCTCATTTCATAGGCTGCTTGTCTCGGATTATTGGCTACTTGAGAACCTGGCGAATTTCTTGAACCCAAGGCATGAGGAGTTAATATTCCAGTAGGAGTGAAAGCTGGTTGATCTCTCTAACATAAATGGAAATGAACATAGACATTAAAATTAAATCACAACGCAGTTAGGTGACAGAAAGAAAAGAGGGCAATGGAATAAAATCCTAACTGTAAGCACTTTACTAAACTCACTAAAAGACCAAATCATCTTCATTAACATCACAAGGTTGTCTACACTTTGATGGTAACTTATACCTTCTGAACAATAGCCTACAATAACTTAACAACTCAGCCCTAAAAGTACATATAATCATTGTCCTGAAACATAAATCTATTCATATCTCATTATGCTAATCCCTATTGCTTATTTACAATTTCAGAAAACATTTAAGACACAATATTAGGCACATAAAAATAATATCAGAATTAAGGTTAAAAAAAAAAAAAAGTTGAGTTTGAGTTATACTTAGGAAATACATTTTTTTTTTCCCCTGAGACGGAGTCTCGCTCTGTTGCCCAGGCTGGAATGCAGTGGTGCGATCTTTACTCACTGCAACCTCTGCCTCCCAGGTTCAAGCCATCCTCTCACCTCAGCCTCCTGAGTAGCTGGAATTACAGGTGCACGCCACCACACCTGGTTAATTGTTGTGGAAACACAACTTTTATTTACCCTTCACCTTGCTAGAATTTAACTCTTTATTTCTAATTAGATATGATTATAGCTAACATAGGATAGTCTTGACTGACTGATAAAAGATACTGACTGAAAGAAAATAATAATGTATCTGTAGAAACCAAATATCCTCCGCCCAGTCTAAATGATTTTGAACCCACTACAACAATAAATAACTCTACGTTTCTCCTTTCTTGTTTCCTGAAATTGCTTCATTCTAACAAAACATAGTAAAAGGCAGTCAGTCCCTAAACTCCACAAGCTTGAAACTCTAACAGGGAAGACAAGAAAACAAGGACTAAAGAAGTTAAATGACTATAAAGCATTATGCAATCAAGTAAGAAAACAAGTATCATAGGTAAGAATCACCAGAGTTAAAGGAAAGGATTGCTCCACCTGTACTATGAGCATAACCAAGAAGGGAGGCCTTGTGGAAAAGGTAAGATGTGAGTGAGCTGCAAAGTCAGAAGTCCATTCAGAGGTGCCAAATGAAGGCAACACTCTTAGTCAGCAGGGACACGGTATATTTAGAAGACAACAGGAGATACGCTGGATGGCTGGAATTCACCAGGTAACAGGAATTCATCAGATGACAATGTACCCTGAACACCAAACTAAGACAGAATTGGATTCTGAAGGGATTAAGGAGTCAGTGGTGCTTTTAGAACAGAGAAACAAGTCTAGTGTGTTGTGTTCTAGAAAGATTAATCTGACAAAGATATAGAAATAAGAGTACAGTAACTTTCAAGAGGATACAGAAGACTGACCATTTTTACTTAAAAAACAATACTTGGCTGCTATAAAACCATTCAAACAGCTAAGTGCCACCCACCTCTCACCACTCAAGTGCATCCCCTTCAGACACCAGAGCCCAGACGACCTTCTTTAAAATCGACACTAGTGTTCTTTCTACAGGTAAAAGGGCAACTGGGTGGACATCTATGTCCCTGACCAAGTCCTACTGGATAAGGAATAAAGCTACTGTAATGAACACATTGTAAAATTATGCTATTACCAATCTCATGAAATTAATCACAACTCACCTTCATTCTCTTTCTTTTTTCTTTCTGTCGTCTTCTAAAACTGTCCTAAAAGTATAAAATCCACATATTCTGTCATATAATTACACAAATATGTCAGAGTTAAGCATTACCAGGAATGATCTGGAAGACAACTTAAGCTTTAAAGGATGACCCCAGAAATCTAGGTACATGATTAAACTAGACAATAAGACTAAATATCCAAAATGCTGCATCAGAACTTTAAAATGGAAGAAAGACTGAATTTAGATACAATTTAGTTGTTCTTCATAATTCTGACCAGAAAGCTTTCGAATCATCTCAGGAAAATGCAAATTATAACAAAGACCCTTGGTTTTATCCTGAAGCAAACAGGCTGTCAAAATGGAGAAGACACAAATAAATTTTTTTTAAAAACCTCAACAATTCTTAAAGTTTAGTTGAATGTAGTTAACAACTAAGGTAACAATTTTTTTAAAAAATCAGCAAGACAATTTAGACTCTGTTACCTAAAAAGGGCTCTTACTCTGTAGAATGCATGACACAATAGAGAAAAGAGAGAAGTGGGAGTCTATGCAAACATAATCCGCCACCCCTGCCAGCTTCCAAAAACATCAATCTAGTGAAAAAAAGGAGGAAATTGAGACGTACGCACGGCTTACTACCGCAGGCCAATTTAATTCACAGGAGAGGGTCCAGCCTACGATGATTCTTTCCCCGCCCCAACTCATTTCCAAAATGCAGCCATGGTTTCAACTGGACAGAATTTTGTGTTTATCTTGTTTAGCCTACTAACTCTGGGCCATTCGCAGGCCTCCCATGCCGATGCCCACGTTTCCCTGGGTATCAAGGAACTGAAATGAGCTAGGGTGCCTGCTGCTGCCATTGCAGCCTAAAACAGGGGCCAATGGGTACCATACTAAAGATCATCCTAGTAGGTGCACTGCCAAGTCATTCCTGCCAACTGCAATATAAGGCCTTGAGGAAATATGAAATTGGTGCTTTCTGCCAGGCAAACAGCTGAATGCTGGATACATAAGTTTCCTACTCTGACATGGAGCTCAGGTGATCAATGGTAGTTGATCTAAGACCTCCTCTGATATAGAAAACACTGATTTATTTAATCAAGTTTCTGTCCCATCTTCAGAGAAACTTCTCTTGCGTAGGTCACCAATGACCTGCAGATTATGAAATCCATCAGTCAGTTTTCAGTCCTTATCTGACTAGGATTCTTTCTTCCCGGGATCACGGTCTTCACTTGGCTTCCAATAGACTACACTCACCTGATATCCTTCCCTCTGCTATGCTCCTCAACTCCCCAACCTTTTAATTCATTTATGCCGGAGGCTGCAAATTTTTTCTATGAAAAATCAGACCTTGGTGATGACCTTGAGCAGTAGGACATAAATAACTCCCACAAGCTTATCGTTCCAGTGATGGAACACTGGGCATAAATGGGTTAATGCTGGTGCTCCTCTGGGCCCAGTACTTGGGACCTCTCCACTTCTCTCTTCCCATGGGAGTCCTCATCAAGTCTCATGGCTTTAAACACCATCTACACGCTGATGACTCCCCAACCAGGGCCTCTCCATACTCAGCATCTTCATTTAATTATCTTAAACTTCACATGTCCAAATCCCCACCCCACCTTTGCACCTCCCAGTCTTTCCATAAGGGTTGCTCAGAACATCTTTCAGTCTTTTGATGCCTTTCCTTCTCTTACACTGTTTTTAACCCAATAGCCAATTTCACTGGTTCTACCTTCAAAACATGTTCAGAATCCAACTGTCTTTGATCACCTCCGCTGCTACTATCCAGGCTCCCTTGGATTACTACAAAAAAAGGCTCCTCACTGGGCTAGGCTCACTGCTTTGACCTTTCCTTCCATACAGTAATTTCAACATGGCAGCTAGAATGATCCTTTTATAGTATGTATCAAACCTTGTCACTTCTCTACTCAAAACCTTACACTGATGCATAATGAAAGCTACAGTCAGTCCTATGATGACCTGTTGGGTCCTACCAGGTTGGGCCCTCCATCTTCTTTCTGATTTCATCTCCTACTGCTGTGCCTTTGCCTCCTCTGCTCCTTCCACACTGGCTCCTTGGTATTCTGTGAACATTCTGGGTATGCTCCTGCCCCAGAGCCTTGGCACTGGTGATTCCCTCTGTCTGCAATGTGCTTCCTACAAACATCTGCAGTGTGCCCCCTCACATCCTTTATGTCTTCAATCAAAGTCAGCTGTCAGTGAGGCCTTTTTCATCACCTTTTCCAGAAGTGTAATGCCCAAGCTCTCCCTTCCCAGATGCCTCCTCGCCTGCTTTAGTTTTCTTGGTGGCAGTTACTGTCTAACATTTAACAAGGTTTACTTAGTTACTGTGTTTATCTTCCAGCTCTTCCAAAACAATGTAAGCTCCATTAGGGCAGGGATTTCTATCTGCTTTTTTGTTTTTTTGGCTGTATCGCTAGCACTCAGAACACCGTCTGGCACGTTGTAAAACATTTAACAAATAATTGCTTAATAAATGAACATTCCCAAGGTAAAAGGCAAACATCAAAGCTCATATAATAAAAAACACCACATTTCTTGCCTAAATGTTCAACTTCAGTAACAATTTTTTTTTTTTTTTTTTTTTTTTTTTTTTTTTTTTTTTTTTTTTTTTTTTTTTTTTTTTTTTTTTTTTTTTTTTTTTTTTTTTTTTTTGAGATGGAGTCTCACTCTGTCACACAGGCTGCATGCAGTGCAGTGGCATGATCTCGGCTCACTGCAGCCTCCATCTCCCAGGTTCAGGCAATTCTCCTGCCTCTGCCTCCAGAACAGCTGGGATTACAGGCACCCACCACCACACCCAGCTAATTTTTGTATTTTTAGTAGAGATGGGGTTTCATCATGTTGGCCAGGCTGGTCTCGAGCTCCTAACCTCAGGTGATCTGCCCGCCTTGGCCTCCCAAAGTGCTGGGATTATAGGATGAACCACCATGAATGGACAGTAACAAATATTAATGTATTCCTTTTCTACCATTTGTTCTCCTGGTCTGTTAAATGCCTATCTCTAAGGGTGGTAGTCACACACAAACAGAAGACCACCTGGGTGGACCTTATGGATCTCTCCTTTTTTTGTGCTATGAACTCCTTTGGAAACCTGTCAAATGCCAGGGACATACTTCCCAGAAAAAATATATATATACCCAGAAACTTTCCTATTGCATTTCTGAGGGTTTCCCCTGATGTCCAATCATGCTGAAGGACACTGTATGACTTCAGGGACACCAACAAAGATCCAAAGCTTTAAAATGCCCTCTCCTGCCAGGTCAGTTGAAAATCATATTAATTAAATCTGTAACACTATGGTATCTACTAAATCCCATACTTCCTCTTCTAATGCCAACTTATGGTGCAGAGTCTGCTAAAGAGACGTTAGAAGGATATTGTAACTCAAGGTTTTTAAACCAAGAGGTACACAGTATGTAGCAGCAGATCAAGGGATGCCACTATAATTGTTGAAAACTTAGTTAAAAATGTCTGTTCCAGTTGAAATCTGATCCTCCAGACAAAGCTAGTTCTATATTTTGAATTCTATATGCAAAACCTCTTGACATCACATAAAAACATTACCAAGTACTGAAGGCTTTTGGTAAGTGCTTACAGTTGGAAAGAATGCTTACAGTCAACTGACTATGTTACATAAGAAGACGCCCAAAGCTCTAAAAATAAGAGATCACTAGCTACAGTATAAAAAGCTGATGAAAACAGAAAATAAGATTCAATAACACATTTCAATGTGTTGGGAGACCATGGAGCAATGTAGCAGTAATAATGTTGTTATCTGCTTAAAATAGCCACATGACTTTTACAAAATCAGTTTCTGAAAAGATTTCCTTACTGTTTCTAAGAAACTATTATCTGCTCATTTTGCCCACTGCTGGCCTCCCTTGCTACACCCTGCAATCACCCTCCAAATACTCTGCCTCCAGGCTGCTGTCCCTCCACTCCTATCAGCTCACCAAGGGGCTCCCAAACCTTGTCCACAGGCAAAGTGCCTGTCCATCTCATTGTGGCCCTCTGAGCAGTACCAATGGCTTCCCTTCTCTTCAGGAATTTCCTTCCACCTCTCTAGAACTGTCTCCTCTTTCTCCTTCAATGTCCATGGTTCCCTAGGCTTCTGTTAAAGGTACTTTTACTCCATTACAAGCTCCCAGGAAGTTCAATTTCATACTCATAATTTCAAGTACCTTTCATCAGTTAATGGTTCTCAAATCTCTTTTCAAAAGACTTCTGCGCTGAGCTTTACACATATTCAAATGCTTAATGAACTTTTCTTTTCTCAGGTGTCCTGTAGCAACTCACATTGAACATCTCCAAAATAAAACCCAATTTCTACTTTGTCCCCACCCCAACCCATTCCACCCCTACTGCTTGCTATCTTAGTAAATGGCACCAGCAAACTCCTAACTGCCCAAGCCAGAACCTGGACTTTGCATGTAAGCACTCACCCATCATATACAATCAATTTTAAAATGCTTTGTTATTTTATTTCCTTTTTCTATTTCAATTTCTTAAGAGATGCAGCTCTCCACAGATCCTACATTCTCCCAACGGTCTGCCCTGGCTTATATAATACAACCCACACTCCCTACATTATAAATTCTTCTTAACCTGTCTTCCTGCTTTCAAAACATGGCAGCCACTAGTTCAATCCCAACAGTCTTCCAGCCTTGGAACTCACATCTGAAATCATATTGATCAGAAATGTGTTTGGATTTATATTCTGATTATGAAGACAGAAAAGAACATTACAATGCAACTTAAACAGGGTACAATACATAGTTCCACACAGCAAGCAACACAACCTTTATAAAATAAAGCACTGACTGCTCATGATTACATTAGTGTTGACACACCATAATGATATAAAAACACACTCAAAGAGATTAAAAGTAATCACAGGATCATCAGAGCCTATTAGAGACAGGAGCAATTTTAGCTACTGCAAGAGAAACACTTTACCTCATCATCCTTTCTTTTTTTAAAAATGCTATCCTCAACTTCACCAACTGCTAACATGATCATCTGTACTCTTTGCAGATTGACATAACCACTTTCTGTAAGGTAACCCTGTAAGTAATAAAATATATGTAAAATGATCTTCTTGTTAAAGCAAATACTTCTGTTTTGAAATTAATCAAGAGTGAACTTACCCCAGTTTTGTGTACCACATTTTTGTATATGTTAACCAAACGGTCAATCGCACCTTCCCTGTCAGCAGAAGACAAACATTATGCGTTAGAACCAGTAGGCACAGTAAAGCCAAGAAGCGTAAAACAGTTTTAAAAAATACACAAATGCACATACCTAATCTCTAATGACGGCAAGTGAGGGAGGAAGTCATTTCCCACAAAGAAGCACATGAAAACCCAATCATCAATGCTCCTTTCAACATCAAATGTGAATGGTAGGCTGGCCATGGTGAGCTCTCTTTCCAAATACTACAACCAAAAAGGAATGCTGCCATTACAGCTATCAAAGGAACCCTGCTTTAGAGTGCTGATTTCGATGACTATTGCTACATACCTCACGAAGAACATTAAGCCGAAGGAAGATAAACTCTCCTTCTGCACAAGGAAGACTATCGGCAAGTTCATCATGCTGCAAGAATAAGAATGAAGATTCATCAAGTCTACTCTAAGCCCAGTAACTTTTTCCAACCAAGCAAATTTTAAGGCTTTTTCTAATGCAAGATCCACTTTAATATCACAAGTATTAAATTTTAAAAAGCTCACCAAACCATTTTAAAATAAAAATTAACCATAAAATCAACCACGCCTAGGCCAGGGGTCAGCAAACCTTTTCTGCAAAGGGCCAGACAGTAAATTATTTTGGCTATTGGGGGACATATATGATCTCTGTCGAACAGCCGTTCATGTTTTGTTTTTAACAACACTTTAAAAATATGAAAAATATTCTTAGCTCACAGGCCAAATCTGTTTGCCCACCAATGACCTATACTCAACCAATGAGTACCCCTTCCCTGTGAACAGATGTGCACAGATACATGATACTGTCTTTGTTGTATTATACATCTGAAATCATACACTATATTTATCTTCTTTTTTCACTTAACAATGTCTTTGAAAGAGGCATCATATTCTTTTTCCCCACTCATAAACTGTATGACTCAAGAGGCACCATATTATCGAGACAGAAGCCCCTTTGAAGGGGACTAGACATAACCAAGTAAACCTAAAATACATAAAGAGTGGGAGTAACTTAAAAGTCTCAAAAAGTTATAGTTTCTGTTAAGAAGAATAACTATTTCAAACAAATAACTTCCACAAACAAATTACAAGCTAAGGGCATTATTATCAATGGGATAATATAGATACAGGCGATGTCAGAAAAAGTGCTACGTAGAAAGGATGAGCGTGTGCATGTTTTGAATGCAGGTTTACTTTAAAGTGCTTTAACATTCACATCTCTGTGAAGGGTAGCAAGCACATAAAAAACTACTCAACCACAATCTTCTCTTTATCCATTTTAAAAACAAGGAAACTTAAATATTTAAGGCTATTTAACTGTATACTTTAAAATGGTTGAAATGGTATTTAATGTCATATACATTTTACAATAGATTTTTTTTCTTAATGAGAACTACCATCTCAATGTTATTACCTTTCCCTTCTTTTCTCTTGGCAAACCTTCACAATCCTTGACTTCATGTCCAAACTGATTACAAAGACCACATGGTTTGGGCTTGTTTGGTTTGAATTCTTCTCTAATAATGGTAAAGTTGGGTTCATGTGTGGCAAGGCCAAGCATAATGAGATCAGCTATCAATTGACAATGAGAAAAACACCGAACAGTGAGTACTCTGAGGATTCTTACCATAACTAAACTACTATGAGATACCAACACAAAGAAGAGCCCAAATCAGCACCCAAATGAGCAGCAAAGCCCCAAAGCCTAACACCTCCTGGCAGTTCCCAGTTAATAGGAAGTCCTCCCAATATGTGGACCTACAACAAAGACGGCCACTAAGGATTAAACACTGGGAAATTTTCTATTTTAAAGGTATGAGGAGTTAAAAGGTTGAAAAATGTAAAATAAAGAAAAAAAATTAAAGATTAGTGATCACAGATTAAACAGCAACTCAATACTAGTTCCCTGCTGAACATAAAATCATCAAGGCAGTTTGGAACTTTCAGGCAGCCATGAATAATCCATTACTGCACACCAACCCATCAACTTGCTATGGTTTAATCCAAGGGAAGCAAATCTCAAAGAAGAAACTTACCATCTGCTCCACATAAACAATGATGAGTATTTGGGTCATGGTCAGGCTGGGCTAAACAAGAGAGAAACACATATTTATATTAACATATGCCACAAGAATATCACTTCATACCAAATATTTTCTATTCAGTGGCCTTTTAAAAATAGAACATATAATCAAATATTGATAAATAAGATTTACCTCTTTGTCTTCTAATGTAATCCATGATTTTATGTTCTCCTTCACCAGGAGCACTAGCATCAGATAAAATAACCTATAAAAAAATTTTACAATTTTTTTTAAGTATACCTGTAATTGAAGTAGTTGCCTCAAACCTAAAACCTAACACTTTTAGCTTATCCCCAATTTTCTATAGGCACAAAAATCAAAAGAATTATATGTCTCAAGAAAAACTGAGATAGTGTTATGGGAAATTTTTCTGAATAAGGGGTGTGTGTGTGTGTGTATGTAAAACTGAAATAGTGTTATGGGAAAATTTTCTAAATAAGGTAGGGGTGAGTGTGTGTGTGTGTGTGTGCATGTGTATGTCTTCAAAACGACTTCATTGATTAACTTACTACATGGAATGGAAAAGAATGAAATGTCTGGGTCAGACCTAGCCGTCAGAAAAACTGATCATTCACAAGTTCCTTCTGTTTTCACTACTATGCAAGGATATCGCGCTGAACCATATATACCCCAATAATCAATAACAGATATCTATTAAATATAATTTACCATTTCTAATTAATAGGAAAGCCAGCTAATGGACCTAAAATTACATACAAGTTCATTTAAATATTACTTAAATATTTGGGAACACAGCCATTTAAGGCAGCCCCATAATTTACTAATCTTGCTGTATTTTGATATGTAATAACGGAAATTTCCATTTAAAAATTACTTTTCTATATATGTTTTTAAAATTATGAATCCCATTTTATGGCTTCATAGTGATACAAGAGGACAAAACTGGCTTTAAAATAAAATTCAGTTATCTAAAACCTAACCATGCAAGGGTACCCCATCTCCAATAACCCTGGAAGCTTTTCTTTCCTCTGACAGTCAACTAACATTTTATGGGGCAGGGCAGAAAGATAAATAATGTCAGTCATATCGAAGTACAGCCTCAAATGATCACCCTAATCATTCTGAAGTATCAAAATGTGAAACTTACTGTCAAATTTTTCCACCCAGGGTCATTATTTAAACGATCAGCTATGTAATAGCGAAGGCATTTAGCAAGATTGTCCATGAATTCAGTTCCCTAAAATGACAGAAAGAAATAAATTAACCTATCATTTAAGAGTTAGCAATAGCTAGCAAAGTATGAGGCTACTTACTGGTGTAATACAGTTGCTGTCAAATCTTTCTTTTATTTCTTCTGGAGGAAGAAAGCCACCTAGAGAAAAGAGGCAATGTTTTGTTCTCCCCATAAAGAGTGGGGTAAATTATTCAATATTAAGCCAGAACAACAAAAACAAAAAGTTCAAATACAAAAGAAAGTAAAGTCCTTTGCAAGGAACACATGTGGGAAAAAAAAAGTAAAGTCTTGTCATCTGAGGAACAATGTTCCCCCACTAGGAAGAAATTAAGATGCCATCTCTAAAATTTAAATTATTAGGCCAGCGCGGTGGCTCAAGCCTGTAATCCCAGCACTGGGGGAGGCCGAGGCGGGCGGATCGCGAGGTCAAGAGATCGAGACCATCCTGGTCAACATGGTGAAACCCCGTCTCTACTAAAAATACAAAAAATTAGCTGGGCATGGTGGCACGTGCCTGTAATCCCAGCTACTCAGGAGGCTGAGGCAGGAGAATTGCCTGAACCCAGGAGGCAGAGGTTGCGGTGAGCCGAGATCGCGCCATTGCACTCCAGCCTGGGTAACAAGAGCGAAACTCCGTCTCAAAAAAAAAAAAAATGAAAATAAATAAAATAAAATAAAATAAAATTTAAATTATTATTATTTGAAACAGAGTCTTATTTTGTCACCCACGCTGGAGTGCAATAGTGCAATCTTGGCTCACTGCAACCTCTGCCTTCCCGGGTTCAAGCAATTCTCCAGTCCCAGCCTCCCGAGACGCTAGGTTACAGGTGCCTGCCACCATGCCTAGCTAATTTTTGTGTTTTTAGTAGAGATGGGGTTTCGTCATGTTGGCCAGGCTGGTCTCAAACTCCTGACCTCCAGTGATCCACCCTCCTCAGCCTCCCAAAGTGCTGGGATTACAGGAGTAAGCCACCACATTCGGCCTTTTAAATTATGTTTTAAAGACTGTAAAGTAATACATGGTACACAAAAGATACTATATTGTTACATAAAAATTATGAAGTTCTACACTCTGCAAGAGGATAATACACACACACACACACACACACACACACACACACACACACGTACGTTAGGAGCCATATTTTTTATAACAGTTCCTAAAATAAAGGTGCCTCAGAAAAATGAAATTTAAAATGCCAAGTTCATCACAGATTTGCAGGATAAGAAATACAATCATCAGGTAGAGGAATACAAAAGTCCCATTTTTTCCTCTATATCACTATTAGCTGCTTCTCAAGAAACAAATATATTTCATCACATCTTCAAAAAAGAAGACATTCTTAAAATCAGAAACACTGTTATAAATACAAACAATTTTTAGAGTCTTAATTACAAGATGAAGCTAAAAGAACTATATATGTGTACACTTCCAGCAAAATTAAAGTAATATAAAATTTACTGTATTACAGGCCTGAGCTGACTATACTATGGCAACTTTTTTCAACTGCAGAGTGTAATTATCTGGAGCCAAGACATTATGGCTTTTCTGGTCTATTATTCACCCTTACATAGCAGAACACCAAACAAACCACCCTGTTACAACCATACCCTAACTCACACACAGGTGTGGTAGCAGAGAACCAGTCCCAACTGGCATCAACACTCCCTGACCTGCCTTTCTGAGGCTTAGTTCCTACCCATGTAGTCACCAAGAATTTTAAGGTTTTGGGAAATTGCAAAAATGACGACAACCCACCCCAACCTCTCCAAACTTGAAGGAATCCTGAGTACCGTGCCTGCTCCATCAACCTATATTGAAAGTATGCAAATGACTTGGCAACAGTCTGTAAATGTGGATCGAATCATCTTTGGCTTCCCCAGATATCCTCTGAGTTTCAAAAAGCAAGCAAGCCAAAGCTGGTTTGAGGAAAATGTTTACAGAACTATAGCTTTCTGACAACTGCCACAGAGAAAAGTAGTAAAAACTACTTAGTGTGTTTCTATTTTACAGAGACATAAAAGTTTGTTAAAGAGCTGCACTGGCCCTGAAAGGGGCTGACAATCTGCACTCTCCACCAGAATGCCCTATTCCCAAGGTTCACTTTTACTAGAGAGTTTGAAAATAAACAAGCCTATTAAGCCTATTGGTGGGATTTCATGAAAGACTTTTCCTCAACAGTGAATACTGGATATTCTGGGATCTTCATTAAATTTAAAGCTTACCTATTTGTAAGAAAAAGTTGCCACCACCACCCCCATTCTGCACACCTTACAAAAAATCCAACTTCAAGATGCATATTCTTTACCTTTTGCCAATATTTCTTCCCTGACTCGCTGCTTCTCAACTGCTGCTTCCATTCCTTCTTTTGATGCTCTGAACCTCCTTGAACGCTGCTGGTTCATTTTAGCACGTGGTGCCTGAAAACATATTTCATATTCCGCATGAAATATGGAATATGTGAATTTGTGAATATTTTGGAATGTGAATATTCTAAAATATTCACAAATAAATCTGAACATTATTTTGAATCAGTTGTTCTTATAAAAGTAGTACACTAAAATGAAAGAAAGGTAATTAATGTGTCTAATAATCCTTTCATGACAGATACCAGATCCCGATAACTTAAATTTGGACCAAGAACCTAAAAGCTGAGCTCAATCAGGTCAATGAGAGCCATGTCAAATGGACAAACATCCTATGAAGCCCTAGCACTTGTACTGCAAGGACTCCCAGTCTAACACCAGTTCCTCTGCGTTAGGGTACTCCTAGAAGGAAAGCTCACTTTACTTACAGACCCAGAGAGCACTTGATGAGCAGTTACTACTGAACTAAGATCAGAAAGACCCTCTTTATGTCCACATCTAAAAGGAAGAATAGTCTCCAATGGGATCCACAATGTCTCATGAAAGCAACAGAAAACTATTTATCTGCAGAATCTCTGTGCACTTCTATTTCCCACAAAAAGGTTTATAATTATCACTCTGTCTTTTCAATAAGGCATAGCAGTTAGAAAAGGAACAATGCTTTAACCAAAAGTTCAATCACTCTAACCAAATGCAATTTCACTAGAATAGCCCAAATAAAGTAAACTGGATTGTACGATTTTGGAAGTTACTCAACTGAGTTTTGAGGTTGGAAGAAACTGGAATATCCTGTTTACATCTAAATGTAAGTTACCTAATATTCTCTTTAAACAGTTCCCTTTTCTGTAGAATGAGACCATCTAATGCAGCCCTCTCAAGTACCAAGTTCTACATCTACATATACATATAAACAAAAAAAAAGTGTGGATAAACATGTACATGCACATATGCATATAAATGTGTACATATTTTATACTTGATGCAACAGAAAGAGCACACTGGAGTAAAGCTAAAAATTTTCTTCAAAAAACATTAGCTGAACATAAATTGAAATGTGCTCTAAACAAGACATATTCCTGTTCTTTTTACTCTTTACTCCATTTTAACTGCAACATAGCAAGTTATCAGGTGGCTACGATTTTTCACTGAGTAAAAGGAATCTCACAGAAAAGTTAATCTTGAATTCCAAGTTCTCTGGATTTCCAAAATCATTTCATTAGCCACTAGGACATACTAAAATTAAAAGAAATAATCTACCTGCACATAGCTAAATAAATTTAGAGTTGTATCTTACCTTAATTTTCCTTACACCCCTGATAGTTTCCTGATCATTTATAAAAGGAGCTACTTGGTATTATTATCATAGGTCAGTAACTTACTCCTCTCAAATCATTTTCATGACTACCCACTGCCTATAGGATACAATCCAAACTCCAGATGGTGGCATATAAGCCTTTCTCAAGCTTTTGCTATACTTCCCTTCTCAATTCAAACCACCTGTAGTTCCCAAAATGTGTCAGTGTGGTCAAAGGCATGAAAAGTATGTTTACCTGCCACATTTGAGAAATCTGGACAGTCCTCCCTCCCCAAACCCTGTCCCATCGATCCACCACCACCATCCCCCAATCTCCCAATTATTCTTCATTGTTAAAGAAATAGAACAAAAGTCGCCTCTTCTCTATTTCCTTAACTTCCTTAGTAGCACTGACTTTCTCTTCCCTCAACACCCTGAATGTATTATCTAGTGCTCATAATGCCTAGAAATAACGAAGCTCACTCATGTATCGATGCCTCCCCCACTAAGCCAAAAGTTCAAAACCAAGGGCAGTCACCAACATCCCCAGTATTTCACTGTACTGAGCACAAAATAAGCACACATAAAAATCTGAATGAATGACTGAAGGATGAGGCTTTCTATCTCAAGTTCACCACTGTCAACGTTTTTCATTATTTAGCTGACTCTCCTAGACACTGGGAACACAGCAAAAACCAGAATGGAGGCTTCTAAGTTAATTATTTTAGCACTTACCACTCCATCTATTGCCATGTAGAGAAGTCGTCTTGGTCTTACAATACTGAAAAGTCTGTCAATGTACTCAAAAATTGCAACCATCATTTCATCTTCATTTTTTGGTGCTGGTCTATAAGGACAAGCAAACAATGTAATATAATATAGTATTTCCTCTGTGATTTGCTATATCAGTGACAAAAACAGGTTACGTACTTGTCTTCAGGATGAGTACAGGGATGGATGATTCCATTCATATCCAAATACAGATTATCAAACTCCACATCATTTGGATTAGGTTTACTGGCATCAACTGGAATCTTTACACCATTGCATTCTTTTGGCTATGAGGAAGTGATAATAGTAGTTTGATTGTTCAAGTCTAAAAATGACAGATCTTAGGCTCAGTATGAACTTGTGTTTTATTACTGAACTGGAAATAAAACACTTCAAGTAACCTTTAAACTATAAGAAGTTATTTTATTCCTTAAAGCAAACTGAAGCAGATATTTTATCTGTAGGAAGTGGATGGCTTCTAACACAAGTTATTTTTAACAATGTAGGAGATGTTTAGAAAATTCCCAAATCATTCAGGTTGTCCAAGTGAGAGATCATGGGAGTCATCTTAAAATTCATTTCCCTCACCACCCACATCAGTTAGTCCTGTCAAGGTAACGTAAAAAAAAGCTTATCTACTTCATCTCCTTTCATTCCCACCACCATGAACAACAAGAAATTACCATCTCTAACCTAAAAGAGCATAAAAACCTTAATCTAGACTGCCCCACCTCTAGACTCTCTGTTCTTCAGCTCACTCTCTGCAGTATCAAGAGTTCTCTTTCTAAAACATAAAAGTGTGCCTCTTAATCTTACCAAATTTTTCCAATTTGGTAAGATTCTCACAGCAGGTGTTGACCAATGAGCTTGGACCTTTCCCAATCTCCTATCCTGCAATACTATTGTTATGGCCCACTCACTCTCTTTTAAGTTCCTGGAAAATGCCTTTTGATTTCTCAATATCTTCACATGATGCTTCTTTCAGAATGCCTTCTTCCTCCCTTGTCAACACCCACTTCCTGAAATCCTATTAATTTCCAGGTCTAGACTGAGATCAAATGTCACTCACTTTATAACACCTTGTACGTATCTTCCAAGAAATTAATTGTTCCCTCTGAATTTCTTCATAATTTTGCTTTTCACTTGTAGCATTTCCACTGTTTCACAATTAATTTGTCAATCTACCCCAGCTACACTGAGTTCTTCAAAAGGGCTTACTCACTGCCAGCGATACTCAATTAGTGTTTTTGTAAATGTTACTATCTTTGTTTTTCTCTTACAGTGCTTCAGCAAAAGATTAAGACTATGAGATCTAATTTTTATTATTAACAGTAAAAGTCACTTAAAAAATAAGTTCCCCAAACACATACAAAGCATCACTTGTAACAGCAAAAACTGTAAGCAATTTAAAAGCCTATCATGTACATACTACATCAAGGATGAACCTCAAAAACATTATGTTAAGTAAAAAAAGCCAGTCATAAAGTACCACTAGTATATAATCCCAATTATATGAAAAGTCTAAAATAGACACGTTTGCAAATACAGAAAGTAGACTAATGGTTGCTTCAGGTAAAGGTGGAGAGAGGGGAGGGAGATGGGTGGCAACTGCTAATTACTTTTGAGAATAAAGACGTTCTAAAATCAGATAATAGTGATGACTGCACAACTCTTTAAATATACTAAAAACCACTGAATCATATACTTTCTGCAGGTCAATTTCATGAGATACAAATTACATCTCAACAAAGCTGTTAGAAAAAGAAATAAAAATTTAAAATCAAGCATGGTGGTATGTGCTAGTAGTCCCAGCTACTTTAAGAGGCTGAGGTGGGAGGACTGCCTGAGACCAGCAGTTCAAGGCTGCCGTGAGCTATGGTCACACCACTGTACACCAGCCTGGGCAACAGAATAAGATCTCAGCTCTCAAACAAATATTAACAGATCAACTTAATTAGAGGAGAGGAAAAAAGCCCATCAGGAAAAGAATAAACTCATATTATAACATCCACATACTTACTTGCAAGATGCAAGTGAGATTGGAAGCGCTAGAGCTAGATGGTCACAAATATACTGCCAAGCCAAAAAAATAAGAACATATACAGTATACCATTTACAGAAAGTTATGAATAGATAAGAAAGCATTCAATATTGTTCAGGGGTGAATACATATGCAATGAAAGGATGGTGAAAAGCAAAGGAATGATAAACACCAACTTCAGGATACTGCCTTTTGAGAAGGAATCAAGGGAATGCGACTGGGCTTCAAGTTGCATTTAGAATTGCAGGGAAAGAATAACAAAAAGGATTTAAGGCAGAACAAAGAAGCGATTAGACAATGTTCTGTACATATATGCTGCAAATTAAGAAAAAAAGGCTTGATCAGAAGCAGTGAGTGGAATAAGTGGTAAAGAAGAAAGCAGGTCAATTCTTGGGTGTGGGGGGGTGAGAGTCTATAGAAAAAGATGTGATGACCCCAAAATTAAAACAAATTCTATGATGGCAAGAGGCTCTCTGCCTCTCCATTTAACTCTATACCCCAAAGTCCACATCTACCATCATCCTGTCCAAGCGGCCACCACACTCAGAAAAATCAAAACTCATTCTTTGTGCCCCCCAGGACAGTAAATATTTCACACCTGCTGGCCATATAATCTCAGCTACAACTAGTATCTGGAACATGGCTGTACTCCAATAAAACCTGACTCACAAAAACAGGACATCACTAGCAGACTAATCCCCACCCTGGTGCCTAGCACAAGAAAAGGCACAGCTCTTCATATGGAGTGTAGCTACAGGAGAATTTCTACTTCCACTGCTTAGAAAAAAATCAAGTGGATCCTAATTTTGAGAAAAGGGCTCCAGGTATTCCCAATAAGAAAACTGAATTCCCCTCGGGCATACTGTAGACATGTCCAACACTTATTATATAACTTCAGAATTCCTTTCATCAAGAGAAGATTTTGATGCTCAACAAAGGAACTCACTCAAGAACCTTGTCCAATGATATACCAACATGTTTCCTCTTCAGTTAAAGAGAGATCCTTAATCAAAGGACAGCTAAAAGGAGAACCACTCTGAACCCTAAAACCAGTGTATTTCAAGTAATGACTTCCAATTATTTTTTGGATTTCCCAGGTAACAGACTGAGAACATACCGCAGTCTTCCATTTCTACCCCAAGACCACATGAAAGACCAAACGAACAAACAAATCTACTGTATAACTATGATGGAAAACCACAAGCAGAACTTCTGTGGCTGAGAAGTGATGAGGGATGGCTCAAATATGGGGAACCAATAGCCCTAACTAAAGATGAGTGCAGTACCTCCAACATGTGAGAAGAGACAGGCTGCCAACAGTGGGCTAACACAAGAGGGCTCCAGGCCCAGAGAGGAGACTCAAGGGACAGCTTCAGGATGATCCATCACCACCAGTCACAGGAACAGCCAGGTGGGCCAACTCCTGCCCTCTCCTCTCCCTTCATCCACGCAGGTTCCATATGAGCCAGGCAACTTGAGAAAGGAGCTCCCATACAATGTGAGAGCTTGGTTTAGAAAGGCAGTGCAGTGCCCTGGCTGAGTAGCAATTCCCGGGAAGGAACAGAGAGCACTGGCAGTCAAGGGAACTCTGCCTAGCAGGAAGCCTGCTCCTTCGTGACATCATGGATAATGGAAGGGGTATATCTATTCCAAACAGGCAGTCGGGATTTCATTCTATTTGTTGCATGGCAATGCCAAGAAATCAAGATAAAGAAGGTAGTTAAAGATGTAAATATAATATAAATATACAAAGTGATGTCTGTATAAAAATACATTACGCAGGTTTTGAAGTAAATCCCTAAAATGAATTTCATGCCAACCTACTGTTCCAGTCAACCTTATAAGGGGAAACCACTACCAATAGCTCAGTAGCTGCATTATTTTTGTTTAAACCTACAAAGGATTTAACAGCAGCATTAGAAAAACCATGAATCATGTCTGACGTTCCAGGGCAATAGGAGTATCCCACTGATGGAAGTCATATCCCAAACCATACAACTCAGTTTTAGATTTCCCTTAAAGCAGCTTGGAACTATGAAAAGAAATTCAAAACATGGGTGATACTTTAGAGATTAATGGCCAAAGGGCTAATGAAAAATTTAAAGTAGACTATTTTGCTTAAAAATTCAACCTATAAGATATTTTAACGCTGTGGGTGTTTTGTATTTTTTCAAGTTGTACATGTGTTAGATCTTCATTTTTATATGTTATTATATAATGTTAGTGAATGAGAAGTAATAATTACCAGTAATATTTATGGAGCACTTAACATGATAAGCACTGTTACAAGGGTTTTTACTCATGGATTATTCCATTCTATCCTCACAACAACCTTGTGAGGTCTGGAGTATCCCACTTACAATTGAGAACACAAATGCTCAGAGAGGTTAAGTGGCTTTTCCAAAGTTACACTATTGCCAGGTTCAGGAACTAGGATTTAAAACCATGACTCAGAGCTGGTACCCTAATGAGTATGTTAGACAAATTAATTGTTAATTTCACTAGATTGAAAGTGATGTGTGCCGAGGTCTACAGCAAGTACTACAGAGGCTACAAAATAGGCAAGGTGTATGAAATTGATTATCATTGCCTACATAAAATCTTATTAGAAGATTTTATTCCAACATGACAGCAGGAAGAGCTTCAATAACCTGTTCCCAGCGAAACTGGTAAATATTACTTTTAAAACAAAAACATTTAAAGCCTTTGGAAATGATCCTGAGGGCAAACAGCAAGGAAATCAAGAAAATCTGTAAAAATTTTGGAATCAAATTCATTTGCAAAAGTGCACAGTAATTTTTTTTTTAAAGGTGTTCTCAAGAACAGTGAAAGCAGGGTGAGGCCCACTGTGGCTCATGCCTGTAATCAGCATTTTGGGGGACTGAAGTGGGAAAATCACTTGCACCCAGGAGTTCAAGGCCAGTATGGGCAACACAGAGAGACCTAACTCTTAAAAAAAA